CGGGGTTTTACCATGTTAGCCAGGATGGTCCTGATCTCCTGACCTGGTGATCCTCCCACCTTGGCCTCCCAAAGTGCTTGGAGGAATTTTTTTTTAAAGAAAATACTCTCCATGTGTATGTTTAGGGAAGAAGATATACTTTAGATTCAAAGACAAATAGACTACAAGTAAAATGATAGAAATGACATATATTGCAAACAGGAACTGTAGAAAAGCTGGAGTAGGTATAAAAACTTAGACAAAAGAGACTAAATCAGAACATGTTACTAGAGATAAAGAAGGGCATTTTATAATGATAAAGGCGGAGATTTCATAACTCTAAGCATGAATTGACAAATGCTTAGCTAGATTGACTAAGACAAAAAGAGAGGACTCAAATTGCAAGATTGAGAAATGAAAGAGGGGACATTATTACAGACCCTACAGAAATAAAAAGAATTAAAACAAATACTGTAAACAATTATATGCAAACAAATTAGATAATTCAGATGAAATGGACAGATTCCTAAAATGATACAAAGTACCTAAACTGACTCAGGAAGAAATAAACAATCTGAATAAACCTGTAACAAATTAAAATATTAATTTAGTATTCAAAATCTACCCACTAAGAAAAAGCCAAGGTTCATATTGGTTCACTGATGAATTCTATCAAACATTCAGAAAAGAACTAATAGAAATTCTTTACAAACTCTTACAATAAATGTACTGAGAGAGAATACTTCCCAATTTATTTCATGAAGCCTGTTTTACCTTGATACAAAAAAAACAGAAAACAAAATCACAAGGAAGAGAGCCTGATGATAGATTATCTTTATCCTGGATTCAGCCCCAGAGTCATAATATTAGTAGGAACTAAATTCAAAAATAAAAATATGCATGGAAATTATTTACCTGAATTTTTGTCCTTATTGGTTAAATATAATTGCTTTTAATCTTAAAAGAAGGGATAAATATTTCATTACTTTTTGACCTTCAAGTTCTTTTAAAACTTGCTGTGTGTTTTAACAAGTCTTTCATAAATGATTCCCCCATGTTCTTAGGCAAAGGAAGAAAAAAATTAAATTACCAAGGATTGAATATTTCTAATCTTTTAAAAGATTACAGTCCTTGCCCCTCTTTCATGCTAAAAATCTGAGTCAGATATCCACTCTAAATGATCTGTGCTAGTATAGTGGTCCTCTGCCTTGGATAACTGGAAACCTTAGATAATCTTCTCATTAAATTAGGATTATAGTAATAGTTTGTCACACTCTGTTTTCTATGTCCTTTGAGTTGACAGTCTTTACCCACAGGGCAGTGGTGTACTTGAAGTTCCTAAGCCTATACAACAGGGAAAGCTGCCAGGCTTATGGTCACTAGTTGAGAGGTACAACCATTTACCCATTTTTCAATCCCACTTTTCGATCACTTAGCAATGAATTTATTTCTTCAACAAACTTATGTGAAGGTTTGTTTTCTATAGGACAGACACTATAACGAATGCTGATAATACAAAAGCAAATAATACAGAGCCCCTATCCTTGGCACTCACAATCTAATAGCCAAGCGCAAAGAGAAGATGGGGGTGGAGGGAATGTACAACAATATGCCATATATACGTTAGAATACATGATGGTGAAGTCAATAAAGATTTCAGAAAGGAAGAGATACTGAGCTGAATTTTAAGAGTGAAGATATGTTCTTCCAGCAGACAAAGGTGGAGTGCACATACTTTTACGAGAAGGTGCAGATTCTTTCATTGAAATAATCATCTTGTACCCACAGCAAAATAGCATGTCCAGATGATATATCCTTCCCCACAGAGTTAAGCAAATCAATGTCAATACATTAAATCCTGACTTCCACATTTACAAAGCTCACAGAAAATCATTTAACTTCTTTCTTTGGAGATATGATAAGTGTTTAACCTCTTTAACAGGAGATCTTTTTCTGCACATGAACGCCACAGCATTCTCCAGAGTTGGGAACGAGTCTCTTGAGCCTTCCCAGTGGTGATGGTGGAATAGTGGCAAGCATGGCTGCTTTCCTGAGCCTTTCCTTTCTCTAGGGCACTGTCTAGCCTAGGTGAAGCAGGAAAGTGGCCCATCTCCACTGCATACTTACCAAGAACATGCCAACTCAATCTGGCCGACCCAACATGGACAAACACATTTTGGAATACTCAAACACAAACATCCCCTGCCTGGGATGTTCCTAACTTCAGAACAGAATTCCCAACAAGTTTAAAGTTAAGCCAGTCAAAAAAGTGTCTGCAAATTCTTCTTTGAACAGAAAGCAGACTCCTGGGCACTGTTATATTTAACTGTGGAGTCACCGTGTAGTCCATGTATCAACCACCTGGCATGTTAAATAAGCAACATCTTCCATTGGTGTACCCTCTTACTATGCATGAATATATATAACATGCATTATTTCATTGGATAACTCTAGGCTAAAGAGGTCAAGTGTTCTCTGGAGTAACCGAGGAGGGACTAGAACTCTATGACATGATCAATGTCACTCAGGTAGTAATGGAGTCAGAGCCAGAGCAGAGCTTTCTGGGTCCTGAGTTTATAATGTAGAATCTACTTTTTGTATTGATTATGGTTTTATTCTTCTCACATGACAAAAAGTTTAGAGGGACAATTCAGCATTGTTGTAGTAACTCAGTAAGACTGGCAAGAACTGCAGTTTTTTTTTCTGTCTGCTCCATCTACTTCACCTTGTAGGCCTTTGTGCTTGTATTTGCCATCTCCTGATCGCCAAAGAACTGCTTAAATTTCAGGCTTCGAGTTTACTCCCTGGGAAGGAAAAAGGTGGAAGGGCCTGTCTTTTTTTTTTTTTTAAACAAATAAAAGCTTTCCTTAAGTCCCAAGGGACTCCTGTTGACATCTATTTGGACATTATTATGTTACCTGGTCATCTCTAGGTGTGAGGGACAGTAGAAAAAGGGGTTTTGCTTTTGAACTTGTAAAGTAGAAAAAGGTAAGGGAAGAGAGGATATTGAATTGCTCCTGGGTAAGGTCCCAAATACGGTGTCTAGCACTAGCTGAATTAGGTTGGCTTTTAAAATATATCTTAATTTTCATTAGGTACAAATTATTATTATATAGAATTATTGGAGGTAGCGAGGAGGAGGTTGGAATGTCAGAATATTTTGAATTGAAAAACACAGTCTTGTCCCTTCTTGTTCTGACCTAAATGCTTTTGCACGGAGATTACTCAAATCCAGGATTTTTCACATTTGCCATTAATACATCCATTTTGTACTTTGTACCTTTTTTCACACGTTTGTTTGTTATTCTCTTTTCTTTTTTTCCTTCAATTTTTAATACAAATTTTAAACATACACAAAATAGAGGCGATAATATAAAGAGCCCCTATGCACCTCTCAGCACTGACCACCTGCAACAGTGATCCTTTTGCCAGTCTCGCTTTGGCTATCCCCTCCTTTTATTCCTCCTGAATATTTTAAGAAAGCTCATTTCATTTCTGGCACACCAGAATGAGTTATGTCTATATGTATGCCTCTAATTTATTCTTCAAACAGAAGAACCTACAAGGTTTTAACATTATTTCAAAAAAATAATCAATGGAAAATTATTGTTTGGAAATTCTATATCTTCTCTTTCCATATTTTGGCCTCTTGTTGCAAAAGATCAACAGGGGGGAAAAAAGAAGAGAAATAAATGTTAAAATGAGAAGCTGAATTTTTAAAGAACTGGGATGTTAAGCAGAGCTTCAGCAACCCCCTATGGGAGTACCTCTCCACTACACAGAACAGAATTTATCCTCCACCTAACATTTAGGTCACAGTTAATCTGCCATTTAAACTATCCTTGACAATTAATACATGGAACAATTAGTATTCTGTTTAAATATATATTCTTTAAGTTTTTTTTAAAGAAATTATAAATTTTAAACCATGTTCTAGAAAGTAGCTAATGGGAACTGCCACAATACCCTACAGGAGAAGCTGTTTAAAATAGCAGCTTCTTCTCTCTCAGAGATATTGATTACTCTGACCCTCTGCCATCTTTTTCTTGAAGACAAATAATCCAAACTGTTAACAACTCTTCCCAATTAAGTATGTATTTTTTCATTCACATACAGTGTTATTCATCTGTTCAGCCATTCTTTTATAAATTCGCTCATTCATTAAACATTACACAGGTCCCATATGCATGCTGCCACTAGAATCTTTAAGGATGAAAACCCTAGTAAGGAACCATGACTGTCTCTGTGTTTTCATAAAGCTAGGCGAACTCACACCCTAAAAGCTTTATGTGGGAATCAGGTAAAAATTGGTTATAATCTAATATTTGGAGAGTAGAAATGCCAATATCAAAAGTGTTTTACAAAAAAAAAAAAAAAAAAAAAAAAAAAAAAAAAAAAACCTCCTTTTTTAAAAAAAAAAAAAAAAAAAGGCATAGTGGCAGGATCATGGGGTGGGAAATTGGCCTGGCTGGAAGAATCGCTATATGTGTATTTTTATCATCCATGTGTTGGATGAAGCGGAGAGCTGCCAGATAGCTTCTTTTCGACAGCTTGGAGTTACTGTTGGGAACAGATCCATGTATGGAAGCGAAAGCCGAAAGGCACAGATAAGCTGAGATCCAGCTATGCAAACCATGTTTAGAGACACTTAAAGGACAAGCATCCCAGGTCCTTTCTTTCTGGTAAATTTAGAGAAGCCAGCATACCGGGATCTTTTTTCACATCCAGCCCATGCGGACTGAGCAGCCAAGGCTTGACGGAGGTAGGTGCCGGGCTTTTGTGATGGAACTTATATAAAGGATCGTTTGCAAATATTTCCTCCAGAGCCCTTGATGTCCTTTAAGGGAAGGTGCCAGATAATATTTCGAAAAGAAAAACAACAGAAAAAAAAATAAGTTGGGGCTAGTGACTAAGAGGTATTTAACAACTCTGCCTCCACAAAACGGGAAGCTTTGCTACGGAAGAAAAGTGACAGCACCGATTTGCTGCCAAATAAAATCCCTCTGTCCTAGGTCACTTACCATTTGGAATTTTGTGGATACAAGTCTTCCTCGATATTGCCAGCGCTTTTAGGAATGAGCCACAGCTTCCACGGGGTTCTGGGACTCTCTGTGTATTTTAGGCTAGGGGAGGTGGGATTTGTCTTTTTCCTTGCTTGTTCTCAAGCCAGCAAAAACTCGCATGTGTGACTAGTTCTTCCTTAGACATAGGAAGAGCTGCTTGTAAACGACGTTATTATTTTTGGCAGCTGAAGTCATTTTTGCAGTACTTCTCAGCAGATCGGAGGTTGATTACATCCTGTTCAGATTCTTGGGTTGTTTTCACAAACATGGGGTCTTACGCAAGTTGAAGTTGCCGAAACTAGCTGCGAGCCCTGGGCTTTTCTCAGCGCCTTTAAAATTTCTTCTTTCTTTTTTTGCTACTGACTGAAAACTTTGGAACTTGAGAGGAAATGTTTTCAAGTATTATTATTGTTTTGTCTTCAGTGATGTTTTGGGAGTAGACTGCGGCAGAATATAAAAAATTCTGTGTCTCAGGAATCCAAGGTAAAAGTATGACTATGAAGAGAGTAACAACACCAGTATGTATATGACTGCCCTGTATTTTCTAGAATACAGGTTAATCCAGCCAAATCATATCAATTGCACTTTGAAATGCTACTCCAGCTAATTACCAAATTGTGGTTATTAAATTAAAGCATATCTGTTAAAATTGTTAGCAAAGTCTGTGAACTCCAGCCAAACACAAACGTCCAGGGAAAAATTATAGGTCATATCTATAAAATATGCATGTTTTGCCAAGATTGAATTTTAAAAAATTATACAAGATAATGGAATTTAAACTCAAGATTTATTTTGCTGAGAATAATGTGTTTGCAACTCAACTAAGATTTGGACCAATTCTTTACCTAGCTAAGTTTTCAATCTGGAGTATGAGTGGGAAAAAGAAAAGAGTAAAATGAAGAAATATGGAATGTGATATTCCTTCTCTGATGAGAGATGTGACATGGCAAATTATTAAAAAGCAAGTATAAGAAAATAAAAATAGTTTGTAATACTGATCAAGGAGATGTTCTCTGGATAAATTAGGTGTCTGGGAAAGGCAATTCATTTAACAGATACAGATGAAATGACTAGTTTTGTGGTGGTTTCTTTCAAGCTGTGAATGTCCCATAACACTAAAAAGGTGGCAGAGAAAGAGGAAATGTGTTTTTATTTCAATAATGCACTATAATTATTAAAATAATTATAATACTAAAAGATTGTTTTCATCAAATTATTCTTTTATATGTCGATTTACAGTGACAGCACATTAAAGTAATACATTTGTAGATTTCGAGAATAGCCTATTTTGCTTTACTTAAAAAATACTAATGTTCTGTATTTGTGAGAGAGAGAGAGAGAAAAAGAGAGAGAGAATAAACTATGCCTTTTTTAAACTAACAGAGACAAGCTGTCATAACTTTTGCTAAAGTGGAACAGGCCTGCAAAAAGATGGTTTTAAAATACTTAATTAAACGCTACATACCAGCCGGCTTCTCAAAAGGAACAGCATAGCAGTAGTCTTTGCAATTTTCACTATGTAAAAGGTTCACATAAATGATGCCACTAGTGTTTGTGAACAGATGCAATGCATATATGACATCAGCTACTGTGTTCTCGTTTGCCTACTGCCAAGTACATTTCAAGTGTGCACTCCTCATGAGAAATGTCTGCTCCCATTTTTTCTTTTGCAAACTAATTCAAAAAGCATAACATAAGTAATAGAGAATGACTTTCTGCTATTTTTTTGTATATACTATGTGAAGATTTATGGAAGAAAATTCATGACACTCAAGCTACTTGTCCTTTTGACTCATGGCTTCTTAAGCATTTAGTGATGACTATACATGCAGAAAATCTTAAAGAGGTCGTATTTTGAGAGGAAAATTGAAGGCGTTGGCAGTCTTAGGTAAGAAAAATGGCTTTTAACGACTGTGTTAGAGTCAGCTGAGGTATGAAGCAAATTCATGGCGGCCAAGTATGATGAAAAAATTCGAAATTGTTCCAAATAGCCTAAAGCACAGGTTAGCGGCTTCTGTCTACAGGACGGGACCCGTCTGGATAGCTGTGGGCCTGGTCTATGGTGTGACAATGACAGGAAAAGCAAGCACTTTTTAGAGGATTTGATGAGGAACAGCATTTCTGGATGTTGGAAGAGAGTTTTTATGAAAGTAAGAGTAGGGATTTATTCTTCCAGAAGCCTGGAAAATTTTGACCCATAGAAAAGGTCATTTTGTTTCAAGGTAAAATATGCCATTGGCTATTTTTAACAAAAAAAAAAAAAAAAAAAAAAGGTCAAAATCCCCTTACTCAGTTGTCTACAAACTGTGAGACATCGACTGGTCCCTGACAGAATAGTAAAAAGATTTTCAGAATGTTAAAAATGACACAGAAGTCCCCAGACTAGGCAAAGGTGCTGGTAAGGAATTTGAAGGCCAGAAAGGCTATAGGATGTCTTTAAGTTCAGTCATTGGAAGGTGAAGATCCCCTGGGGTCCAGTTCACCTGGTATTCTGATCAGACATGATCTGCCCATGAAGAACTTCTTTCAATTTTTTATCTTAACATTACATGACATTTTCAAGTCTTGTGGCAAGATATTGGAAGAAAATTGTATGCTGGAACATTTTTGATGGTAGTTTTAAGGTTTGTGAAGTAATAAAAGGGAAACAAATTCAAGAGGCATTTAGTGCTGTTGAGGAGAAAAGGGCCTTTCTTATCCCATTGATTTCTTTCCCTGATATGAGTCATGGTTATCAACTCTGTCTGTACATGAAAATCACTTAGGGTAGGTGATGCCCACATTGTACCCGTAAGGAATTAAATATGTTACTGGGGTCCAGACAAGGGTAATTTAAGTCCATTCCATGACATTCTAATGTGCAACCAAGATTAAAAAGTATTTCATTTATGCAATTAAAAAAGGTGGTAACCAGTCTAATTTATTTGAAAAGAGGAGTCAACAAAACCACAGCTGAAGACTAGAAAAAAAAAATGTACTTTTATCCAGAAGGATAATTTCCTTGGAGGTTTTATTGATATAATCTTTGCTAACAGAGAATTCCTATTTTAAAAGTTTCAGCATATTTAAAAGGAAGTTTTCTCTGTAATAAAGGATTGATTTGTATCTACTTGATATCTACCATACTCCTTAGCCTGGATCCTGTGTGAATGCTACCCACAATTACTGAAGGCTATAAAATTTGTATATGTGACATTATAGTTCTTAACTACAGATACAGACATCTTGAAAGGGCATGTTAATTTTGGATAGCAACAATTTTCTAAAAAATGGGCAAATTTATTCTAAAAAAGGAAAATCATGCTATCTTTGACTTTTACCTTTCTAGGAAGTACCAAGAACTTACTAAACTTTAAAAAATGAAATCAAACCTTAATAGAAGTGATGAGGACCAGGAAATGTCTTAAATCAATTTCTGAACCCGGCATGTTTTAGGTAAATGAGAAAGAAGACTCCACTGAATATTGACTCTATTCTGAGCAATGTATTAGATGCCAATTAATAATAATATATAATAATTATAATTCTAGTTCCTTTATCTGCCCAGCAGCTTGCCTTCTGAGAGACAAACTGCAATTATATATGATTCTAAGAATTATTGCCAATTGCAAACTGCTGTTGAATTTCATGCAAAGAGACACAATGCTAACAAACTATTTTTAAATCTTTACTATTTTTATTGCTTCACTTATATAGATAAAATACATTCTCTGAAATAAAAATTCTTTTGGATGTTGCAGTTAAAATCTTGAATTCCAGATTCAGACAAATCCATGTGCAAATCCCAACTTTGCTACATTCTGCCATGCTGGACAAGTCACCTAAAAACTGTGTTGATATGTATACAGCTTTTACTGTTTTCCAAGCATACTCCTAAGCAAGTTACAGGTAATAACTTATTAATTCTGACAAGTAACCCTATGGGATAGTCACCCATTTTACAGATGGAAACACTGACACACAGAGAAGTTTAATAATATGCCCAAGGTTACACAGCTAGTAAAAAAAGGAAGTAGGATTTGAAGCCTGTGTTTAACCTCTGTGCTACACTGTTCCATAGTCATTTCCTTGGCTTTAAAAAATGAAAACAAATAATAAAATTAATGTGTGAAAGATATACAGTATAGTTATGGCAAGAAATGAGTAAAATAATATTATTTTCAGATTGCTGTCCACGTAGTTTAATAAATATCATTTGAAAAAGCTTTTCTTTTTCATTTGAAAAAGCTTGTTTCAAATGATTTTTGAAAATCATTTGAAAAAGATTTTCAAAAATCATTTGAAAATGCCAACTCTGTAAAAAATAACACTGAACACTCTTTACAAACTAAGGCTTCCAAAGTGTTGAGTAGACATTTTTCAAATAGCAAAGTTAAATTACTGTTTTGTGTATTCCATCCTTGTAGTCTCTCGGCCTATCATGTTAATCATGTTTCAATCAATGTATGTTGAAATGTTAAACACCCTTTCCTTCACTCTTCAACATTATGTAAGCAAAGATGATTGGAAAATGTGATAAAAATCATTTAAATGCAAGTTAGCATTATATTGAGTGACCTATCTCCCATACATGTTAAATTTCATTTAATTTTCAATTCATTAATCTAAAATAAAGAATAAGAAATGCACTTGACAATTAACTTACATTTGCTTATGAGCATACGACTTTTGGAAATTCAACATACAATTTGTACTAGTTTTGTGAGTTGTACATTTAGCTTTGTAAAAGTTATAAAGAAATAATTTTACAGATAAAGTGTAGGGAAATTGGTCAGTTGTACTTTTGTAAAAGGGAATGAAATGAAAGCTTGCCTCTATTTTCCTCACTTTCTATTAGACATGTGCAGAGGAATAGAAGTCACATCCGCCTTCTAACACTGTTTTCACTCTACATACATTTAAGAACACTTATTATATCATTTTTTCCAGAGACGATTTTGTTATCATTAATATTTAAATATTATTTTGCTTAAAAAGATAAATATCCACTGCCATACTATAGGCAGGGGAAAGGAAAAATAACTTATGAGAGATTTAAACACAAAATGGAATTCCTTCAAGTCCCATAATCTATAGACCCTGATAGATTATATTTTTTTAATTATCAACAATGATATCAACAATAAACTATACTAATTTATAAAATTATACCTTCCTGAGCAATGTAAAGAATTGGAAGACAAAACAAGAACACAATATGCTAAAAACCAAGTCCCAAAGTTTCATTATAAAGAAACTAAATTTACGTAGCATTTATGAATTTAACTTATGTACAAAACATGTGTCCCCTAGCCAAGGTAAAGGCGCATGCTCTTTTGGGGAACACAGACTAAATAGATAACCATTATAAGGATTA